GCTCCCCAGAATAATGCACTATAGAAGATAGCACTGAAGATATGGTGGGGGGTGGGGGTGGGGCATGGAGAGAATGAACAGCAACCAGGCCCACCAACCTTCAAGGATGACATTCCAGCTCGGAGCAGTTAAAGCACAGAGAGGACCTTAGAGTCGGCTTCACCATGAGACACGATGTTCTCTAACTGACCCACAGCACTATGCGGGGCAGCACCGGAGACAAAGTTCAGGAATTGTGCCTGGTCTGACCTCCCCCCACACCACACCCCACACCAGCGTGTAACACGAAGGGAGCATAACAGAGCAGCAAGGGGAGCAAAGCAACAAAATCCCTGCGGAATTCTGAAAATAGACTTTGGATTCAGGGGGCAGGGCTTGACATTGCATCAGACCTGATCCGAAAACATTCATAAGGGTCTACAAACCTTTTAAAGGACCCTCATAGTCTAAAGTACTAAAGGACCATGTGAACCTCAATCTCCTCAACCCTGAAATCAGAAGAACCGGATAATGCCTAACTACTACGACACAAACCACCCTGAAAGGGAGCAATTTGTAGATTCTAGATAGAACCAGGAGAAAAATGTGTACCAGAATTTAAAATTATAAAAGGCTAGGATTACTGTTCTGATAGAGATTAATAGAACCCCTAGGACTGTGGGGTCCTTAGTTATTTTTTGAACTTGGAACTGAATTTTGGTCCCATAGCACAACTTTCAGCTTAGCAGTAGACAGCCCTTTAAAGTAAGCAGTAACACTGGAGAGGTATACACTCATTAGAATAACCGACCTTATAAGATCTAAAGAACAGCTTATGCCCAGACTAAAACTCAGAAGGCCTAGGAAATGATGACAAATTGGAATAGGAAACACAAGGAATACGGGGGGAAGAGTGTCATTAAGTTATGAGAATTACAATCACTGTCGGTTAGATGGACTAAGGTTTTCCAATGAATTTCTCATACGACCAGCCCATGCTGCCTTCAAAGAATGAGCAGGGGGGTGTTTTCAGTTGATAGAAAGCAATTCCTCCATGCATCTATCCTGAGCTTTCCCCTCACCAGTGCTGTGTTCATTTTTCTGAAAACTCCTTCCCAATCAGCTCTTGTGATGGTCCAGCATCACTGGGGAAAAACACTATCCAGAGTCTTGCAGTGGAATCCCAAAAAGGAGTCATCGATCTTCTGAGCTGCCCTCTGTGCCTTGAATGTAACTGATCAGCAGATCCTCTCCAAAATTACTGTTTTGACTGGACTGCTTTTTTAAAGCCACCCTCAGAATACTAATACAAGTGCACTGCTAAGGAAACTTGTCTGCAGCCATCTGGGTTTAAACAGTTCTTTTTAATACACATGTGCAGATATGAACTGGAACCCTTGACATATTCTTCCTTATATGATCTAAACCATAGTATTTTTAATCAATACATACACTTATGAAAGCTGGAGAATGAATGAGGAGGATTGAAGAAAATTTGATATACAGTTGGTAAAGAATATAGGCTATATGATGAGCTAGCCCGAAACCAAATAAATCTGCCGTAGAAGTACAACCAGAAAGTTGCTTAGAACGAAGTATGGAGAGATTGCATGTGGACGTTTTTATCAGGAGGGACTAGTCCCTTGAGAAGGATGCCGTGCTTGATAGAGGGTGATGCAAAGAAGAAAACTCTTCCAGGAGATAGCTGCCGTGGCCACCATAGTGGGCTGAAACAGCAACAGTTGTGAGGATGGGGCACTTCTCTTTGAAGTAGGTTTGCTGTGAATTGGAACTCGCCTGACGGCACCAAACAACAGCGGGTTCGTTCTACTGCTTTTTCTCTATCTGCTTTTCTAACTTCTTAATGCCACCGTGGAATTCAAAACGAAAAGCCTCTCAGATGTAATTCACATCAGCCGGCCCCTTTTCATCCTTTCCATATACAGCTTGGAATATCTTTTGTCACTTTTTGGTACTTAACATTATTGATACTTAGTATCGGAAAAGTTAGCATTTCTTTTTCCCATAAGAATAAGTGTATAATTATAATGCCAGATTTTTTTCCTGGTATGTAGTTTTATCTTGAAAATGCATTTGTATTTCAGACCTTCATTGGAATTCAAGGCATTATCTGCCTTGCGTGATCAGCAAATTTTGTTAATGTCTTATACTCTGTGAAAGCTCATTAAAAAGAAATGGTGGCACTTGGCTTATATGTTGACTCTTCTGTCACCCTGCTCAGAAAATGGGGAAAATTCTCTTTTTCATTATTTCCCTTTCACAGCTTCTTCTCTAGTTTCTAATTCACGTGACTTGGTAAAAACTGTATCCAGGACATTTATAATTAAGGGTTTGTGGAACACATAATCAAATGCTTTAATGCGTTTCAAATGTCTAACAGCTGCTGAATTACCTTCATAAACTGGTATAGTGAAAATGATGCTCAGGCTTCAAGGGAAGATTTGTTTTATGACAGCCTATAAAATATTGCCGTATTTTCTTTCTTAAAAGTTTTTTATTTTTATGGACTCTTGCATAATTGGTTTGGACTTTAAGCTGAATTCTCCGTACAACAGAATTGTAAACTTTTTCTCTATTCTCATGTAATACCTCGTTTGCAATTTTATTATCTGCTCAATGCCTGTCTCCTTTTACTGCATTCTGGGCACTCGCGGGTACCCGGGGACCCTCTCTGTGGCATCCTCTGTCACTAGCTTTCCTAGAAGACAGCTCTCCTGACGTGACTCTTTGCCCTAATATGAGGTCTCATCTCACTAGTCTTTCCTCTATTATACTCGGAGCCAGTATAAAAATCCAGTTTCTTTCTTTCTTTTTAATAAAAATGCCCACGAAGCTTCCCTCAAACAGGGAGAGATCCAGTTTCTTAGGGTTAGACTTTTTCATAGTGTTGACCAATGTCTCTGTTGGGTATTTTTTTCACAGTTAGGGAGTTGAGTGAGCAACTCAGATTTGTTGAGGAAAAAAAAAAGGAAGAAACAAAGTTGAAGAGGAGAGTCGCATAATGACTTTGATTTATTCATCCCTTTTATCCCATTTTAAAACCTGTTTTCAAAAAGACCTCATTATCTAGTTACTAGTTTAAGGTTTCAGCAGTCTTACAGTCCAGAAATAATTCGGTTTGGAAGGCTTAACACATGGTGGTAAATTCTGACTCAGACATTTTCTTCAGGGTTGAAGCAAATGGAAATTTTTTTTTAACCATACTTAAACTGAGAGGTTAATCTACTATACTGAAGTTATTCTCTTTCTACATGTTTACCTTGTTTTTGATTCAAACTGGTTTCAAGGACAACACTCCTTTAATCGGGGTCCCTGTGTAGTACAACTGCTTAAGTCTCTTGGCTGCCAGCAGGAAGGTTAGGGGTTCAAGTGTTATTTCAAGGTGCCTCGGGAGAAGGGCCTGACATCTACTTCTGAAAAGTTTGCCATTGAAGACCCTCTGGAGACAGTTCTGCTCTGATACAACACATGTGGGCTTACCTTGACACTCAGTAGAGTCCATGGCAACTGGACTTTTAAAGACCAAAACCAAAACCCAAGCCCAACAGAGTAGCACTACCCCACAGGGTTTCCAAGGCGACACATCAGCACAGAGCGGACTGCCACATCTTTCTCCTAAGGAGCACCTGCTGGGGTCCGACAACTTACCTGACCGCTGTACCCACAGCATCACTAGGGCTCTTCATTTTAAAGAAGCTCTCACCAAGGGACCAAATAACCACAGACCCAACAGTGATACTATTGGAAGTATCCTGCAGTGGTGAAGGATGAGAGCCGGAGAGTTAGTGGTTCTGAGGTTCAAATCTTAATGACGCCATTTACCAGCTTTATAACTTTGAATTTCGTAAACTCTGTTTCGTCTTTGGTAAGATAGGAATATGTTATGAGGGTAACTTGTGTTTTAGATTGAGACAATTGTGAGAATAGTCATCTCTGCTCAGGATCTCGGCCTTCTAACTGGATTCCTAGCTTCTACTCTTGTTTTCCTGTGGCTTCCTTCACAGAAGCTAGAATGGTTCCATAAAAAATCCCCAAAAACCCACAGATCAGATCATGCCTTTCTCTTGTTTGAAATACCCCAATAGTTTCTCCTTGTACTTAGGTAGGATCCGAGCTATTTACCCAGGCCCACAAAGCTTCCGTCCTGTTGCCTCCCTCCGCCTTTGACCAGCAGACTCTAAGTCACGCAGACCGTTGTGTTCTTTTCAGCAAAGGCTGTTCTCATTCACATGGAAGACCTTTATGCTGGTGGGTTTCTATGACTTGGAAATTCTCATCTGGGCAGCCAAAGGCTCGTAGATTCTTACTCAGATTTCAAATTCAAGAGAGCTGTCCCCTGACCTCCAAAATCAAAGTAGCCTCTAAGTCAATATCTGTTATATCCTTTTTCAGTTCGCTGACCATTTAAGTCCCTTTGCGGAAAGTAAGCTGCCTGAGACACAGTGACTTTATCTCCCCCAGCCTGGGCCCTCAGGTACTACCTCACAGAGTTAAACATTCACTCACTGCGTATGGGGTTAGCGGAGTAATATGATGGGTTACAGTACGTAAAATGCTTAACCTAATGCATGGCCTACAAATGAGTACTACTGAGTGATGTTACTTGTGATTATTGATGTTTACAAGATGGATGGATGGATGGATGGATGGATGGATGGATGGATGGATGGATGGATGGATGGATAGATAGATATTTCTTTTACAAGTAAATGGAAATGAGTTGAGACTTGAAAAATATGTGAATATCAAGATCCACGCCCCCTGAGGAAAGCACACAGGAATTCACATCCAGCATTTGATTTTCTAATGTAGATTCTATGATATTAATCTAAAATCTTTGAATGAATCTTAATGTCGTCTTAGTGGTACTTCTTCACCCATCCATTTGTTACAGCTTCGGTAAGAAAGTAAACTTTATCAGAGGGCTGGGGAGAAAGGAGAAAAAGCATGCTGACCGTGCCTGAGCAGTGAAGTCATTGAGCTGTTTTTCGTTGTTTTAGATGTTCATACTGAAGCTGTTCAGGCAGCTCTTGCTAAACACAAAGAAAGAAAGATGGCAGTGCCTATGCCTTCCAAACGCAGGTCCCTGGTTGTGCAGACCTCGATGGACGCCTATACACCTCCCGGTGAGTGATTCAGACACTGCCTCCGCCTCTTAAAGCGAGAGGTGTGCCCTCCAGATTTAACGGAGCACTGCCCTCGCAGTCAAGCCAGAAGCCCGGAGACAGACAGTATTCTCCGGATTAATCTTGGAAGGGAAATGAATGCAAGTTCTTATATAAATTCATGTTTTAAACTTTTCATTCAGTTCATAGACATAATAAAATAAATACTTGTAAAGTCTTATAAAGTTTTAGGAATTTAGCTTCTTCATATAGCAATAAAGAAGAGTGTGTATCTTCATGACACTGACCGCTCAAGTACCCATTTTCCGGACAGTACTTCATGGTACTCATTCTCTTCTATTCATGCTACTGTTACATTTATCCTCAATGCCTTTGTTTAATAAATCAAATTGAATGGAAAATTCTGGGCAGTTATATTAAGCTCCCTCTGCTATAGAATCCATGCTGGCTCATGTTAATCAGGGGTCCTTAAAAGTCTTGTGAAATCCCAGATATTTTAGGCTTTGCTTATAATATAATCTCTGGCACAATTAAGTAGCTCTGCCATGGTAGCACTAAAGGAACCATGGTTGTTATATAAGAGAATGGGTGTGGCTGCGTTACAATTAAATTGTATTTAGAAAAGAGGCAGTGGGTTGGATTTGGGCCATGGGTCAGCAGACCCTGATCTAAATGGCTGTATCCCATTTATATTTCTGTTATATACTACTGCTTGTATTTAATCCTAAATTTTGTATGACTTCCTAAGTTCTCTACTTCACTGTTCCCAAATAATTATCATCTATATTTCAGATCTTCAAAACCAAAGTGAAACAGAAAGTTAAATTATCCAGATATCTATTAGAAACCTGAAGAGTTGCTTGCTTCTGTGATTTTTGATTCCAGCATTATCTATGCCATTGTTGCAGCTTTATTTTTTGCATAAAACTAAGTTACCTAGCATACACATTGGACAATGTTAAATGCCATCTTTTTTTTCTCTGCCAACAGAAAAATTAAAGTTATAGGAGTAGTTGAATATAATTTTATATACAGTGAAGATGTAGGGACTCATATTTCAAACCATAAATGCAGCCAAGAGTTTAATATTGCTTTAAACAAATTCAACTATTCAACTTGCCTCTGAAAGTAAATGGATGAGCTTCGTAAAACAACCTTTGTATTGTCTTTTCTTTCCTTGTACTGACACACAAAGCATACTTTGGAACTACTGAAAAACCAGCTAATTTAGTATGCTGGATTGTATTGGTTTATTTCCCTTATGGTTATGATTTACCAAAATCTATAATGTTGAATTATTTATCAGAATGGCCTTCCAAGAATAACAAACCTACTTACCACTTTTTGGACCAAACGGATTTTTTTGAACTTTTGTTTTAAATAATTCTATTCTTGAGTTAGACCAATTTAATACCAATATGTAGAGAGAGAGAAAATGTTTAATCACTTACCATTATGGGAATAATGAGTTTGAATGTGTAGAATCAATGTAATTTTTATTGGTAATGTGCTTATTTTACATTGAATTCATCACTGGAAAATATTATCGTGTCACAGTTATAGTCCACAGATGGACAGTCAGAAAACCAAGTCTTGCTTCAAAAATGCCCTGGAAATGTTATCTTTTGTGAAACATTTCCATTTAAATACTTGACTAGCATTTTCATGCACTAGCTATAGTAAGATTTTTAAACTTATTCAGGGTGTTAGTGGTGGTCTCATCTGGGATAATTTTATACCGTCATTCTTATTCACAGTCTGCAAGTAACTTCTGACATATGACAAAAGGCTTCAGAGGAAGATGACAGAATTCAGAGTCTGCTCATTTATTGTCCAAAATATCTAGTATCCCATAAGCAATCAACACTTAGGCAGAGAAACAGGAAAATGTAATCTGTGGTCCAGAACAAAGCGGTCAATAGAAAATGAACATAAGATAGATGGTCTCTATTGTATTGTCAGTAACCACAAGTGACTACTGAGTACATGAAACTGAGTACATGGCTACTGGGAATTGTTTTATACTATTAATATAAAGCACACCAGATTTTAGAGGCTTACTATTAAAATAGAGATATTTATTAATATTCTCTACATCATGAAAAATATATGAGATACTGTATTTTAAATAAAATGCCTTTATTTGGCATAAAAATAATTTAAATAACAAATTAATTATGCATATTTCTAATATAATTTGGTTTCTTTTCAAACTGTTGTGTAGAGAAAATTGGTAAATGTGTCCTAGATTGTAATAACAAAATAAGCTTTTTGTAACATAATTATTTAATGTACTTTTAGATGAAAATATCATCATATTGAAGAATTATTTCAAAGGTAAAAAATTCTAAAAACTATTTCAAGCATTAACAGTGCACTGATTATGTGAGATAAATCTGTATTTGCAATAGACTACTGTCTGGGGAGGGATTGACATTTGGGTGTGCGTTTTTACGACAATAGACAGCAAAGCACAACTCTTTGTACACACAGATACCTCCTCTGGTTCAGAAGATGAAGGCTCTGTGCAGGGTGATTCCCAGGGAACCCCCACCTCCAGCCAAGGGAGCATCAACATGGAGCACTGGATCAGCCAAGCCATCCATGGCTCTACCACATCCACAACATCCTCTTCCTCCACGCAAAGTGGTGGGAGTGGTGCCGCTCATAGGCTGGCCGATGTCATGGCTCAGACTCACATAGGTAAGTGCACCCAGGAGTATTTCCTTACATGCCTTCTATTCTGTTGTTGCTATCTCAGCGACCAGTGGATAGTGGTATTCTTTTCTGTTTGTGTTCTTCACTTGTCTAGCATACCTGTAGGAGCTAGCATTCTATGCCACACTCCCCAACTCCAGGGCTGCTTTGGATTAATTATTTTCTGGTATCCTAGTTTTATTATTTTTTATCAGCCTACCATTTTCAGGACCTTTCTGTTTATAGGGAATGCATTCTTGCTCGTTTGGAAATGTTCTAGCCATTTCTGTTATCATATTTTCTTCCTCTGGCTTATGCTTAAGAGTCCTGGTGGTGTAGTGGGTTACGCATTGGGCATCAATCCACAAGGTCAGCAGTTCAAAACTGCCAACAGCTCCATCGGAGAAGGATAGGGCTTTCTACTCCTATAAACAGTTAAAATTTGACTTATGCTGAAAGATGTGCACTGAAATTTTAATAATGGTGATAAATACGACTGGAATTTTAAAGTCACATTGCCATTATTTTGGGAATCATTTAAGGAAATAGGAAGGCTAGAACCAGTACTAGTTTACAAGGCTTTCCACCACGGAGAAGTAGATTGTTTTTACCTTCAAAACTCATGGTGTTTTGAGCCAACAGTTTTCAAAAAAATTTGTGGAGAAATGGAATGAAAGAGATAATGGAATTTCCCCACAAACTTTTTGAAACTTTACATCCTATGGTGGTTCAATAATCAGTCAGCACCTCTGCATTGGAAAAAAGTTTGCAGTTAGGAAGCATTTTCCTGAGTTGTTTGAAAGTAGCAACTTTGACTAAGAGATGAAGTAAGACTTAGTAGAGGAAGAGGGCCAGGGCTTGATAAGTCTATGTGGATGAAACTTGCATGAATAATTGCTTATTTTTCTGCCTCCACTTGACCTCTATTCTCCTATTCCTTGTCAATGCTAGGGCACGAGTTCTTATGCTGTATAGAGGTATAATGCTGTATGATGCCCAGTTCTGTTTTGATCTGTATCCAGCCGTCGGTTAAGCTTTTCAAACATTTGGGAATAAAATGTTCACGTAAAACCAACATCGGGGAAAATTATTTGTGTATGTTGCCAAGATTGTTCACTATGCTTGTTTCATTAAAATAACAATGGGGGAAAGTAGGGTAAAATCCCAAAGGAGACCTGCTATGTACTGCATATGGTACTTCTGTAGATTCCCCCAGCCACATCTGAACTGCTATGGGAAGCCATATATCTGATAAAAATCTAAATTTAGAAACTAGCTGAGTGTAGCAAAAGAATTACATATCTATAAATATAAGTCTCCCAGATTGTTTATTTATAGATCATCAACTACTTAATAGAGTCAGAAACATTGTAAACTGATCATTTATGGATTTGTCTTCAGGGGTCCTCAAACTTTTAAAACAGTTCACTGTATTCAAACCTGTTGGAGGGCCGGACGATAGGTTAAAAAAAAACAATGAACAAATTCCTATGCACACTGCACATATCTTATTTTGAAGTAAAAAACAAATGGGGCAAAAACACCCAGATAAGCCTGGATAAATATCCTCAACAGGGCCACATGTGGCCCGCGGGCCATAGTTTGAGAACCCCTGGGACTCTTCATTCAGTCAGAATCTGCCTCTTATTAGCAGAAAGGTGCGTTCTTGGGTTCTGGCCAACAAGAGGGCAGCAAACCGGGAGATCTGGCCTCGTCCTCTCTGTCATTCACAGCGATGGGACTGTCAGAAGTCACATTGGTCAAATCCTTACATTCTGTCTCTCAGAGCTATTTTAAACTGTAAACGGGAGAAGAGGAATACTTACCATTTCTTAAAAGTGACAATCAAATGTACAGTGATAATGAGATGAAATTTTAATTCAATAAAATTTAAAGAACATGAACGTTGATTAATATAGCTAATAGCTTCTATTTGAAATTACAGCAGGTCATTAATTAAACAGAAATGTATGGCCATTAAGTGTTTGAAGATAATCATTGTTTTTCTTGTGAGTATTTGAACTCTAGATAGTGGCCTGGGCTCTGCAGCATGCTTCTAACATTAAACTGATAGATTAAACCCAGAAGGCATGTGTACAAGCTCTGCCCCTCACCCTCGGTCATGAAAACCATTGTATTGTGCTTTCAGCTCACTGTTAAGAAAGGGCTAAGAATCTTACCAAGGGTAGCATACATCTATGTACACATCAGTCACTGCATGTGGTTTGCTCTTTGTGAGTTTACGCTAGGAACACTGGGAGGAATTATAGCATCTCACTGCCATCAAGCTTATTCTGACTCAGAGGGACACTCTAAAACAGGGTAGAACTGCCCCTGTGGGTTTCAGAGATTATAAAACTTTATGGGACTGAAAAACTTCATATTTCATCCAATGAGCTTCTGGTGGTTTTGATCTGCTGATCTTGCAGCCTGACTTAACCACTTTGCCACCAGGGCTTCTTAACAACATGGAGAATAAAATTTATCCAAGCTATAAAAGTTGGGATTACTGTTGAGTATTATGCTGTTTTAAGAACTTATTTGGGATCAGATTGACAGCAGCAACCTGGAGGCTTAGATAGGACTTTGAGGGAACAGTGAGCGTATATCAACGAAGGAGGAACAGCTCAAATAGGAGGGTGAGAACGATTGCTAGCTCGAAGAGCACAATCACTCTTACTAACCTGTACACGTAGGTGCTGTTGACTTGGTGTGTGCTTTGCTGTGCATATTCTCAACATGGACGAAGCAAATAACATTTAGGGGAGAAAAAAGATGGTATCACTCGTGTGTGGCAAAATTCAGTGTACACTAAATAGCTTTTGAGTTTGTCATATTTCAGTAATTTTTAATTCGACACAAATCTAAGTTTTTAGAACAATTTACAATATTCTTTAAATATGAGGGACATTTTGGAAAGAAGGAAGTAACACAATCATAAAACTTACAGGAGAAGGAAAATGGTCATAAATTTTCCCTGTGGCAAAACAAAAGAAAGAGGTAAAAAGAAAAGTGCTGACGGCATCTTAGCCTCTGGTGAGATCTTCAAAAAGCTGCTACTAAGAAAAGAATGCCCGTGTGCGCGTGCGCGTGCGCTAAGGAACTTAGGTTACAATACTCAATTTGTCTTTGTAAATCCTTCATAATTTGGTGTTTAGGTAATGAGGAAACCTATTTTGCCCTGAGGGTTTAAATTTTGGGGGGCCTTGAGTGTCAGTCATGAAGTGTGTCAATCTTGGTACTTAATTTTGAAGCAAAATCTTGTGGTCTTTTCCTCAGGTCAACACTTAAATAAGTATGTGTGCCTTGCCTGTGTATAAATAGTCAAACCCATTTTGTGTAGACTATAAAATCCCTTTCCGGTTTTCTTTTGTTTCTTGTTGTTTTGCTTCCTTTCAATCCTAGCGTGATTGTTTGTTGTTTTCTTACTTAAGAGCAATTAAAGTGCAGTGTCCAAGACATTGTTCATCGTATGGATGCTAGAGAGGCCTTTCCTGAAGTGGTCCTTCAGGATGTGCTGCCATTCTGATAACTCTTGATGCACGGATAGCATGAAACAGTGACTTGGTTGCAAGTCCTCTGTCCATTGTGAGAACTAAAGTCTTTTGAGATTATGAGAAACTATTTTAAGAGTCTTTGTTTATGAAGCATTTATACAGCAATTAGAAGAGATTAATACATCTAAAATATTTTATCGGCATCAGAATTTGAAGGGCATAACTTAAAATAATCAGTAGATTTAATGAATACTTTTGAACTCCATGGAGTGTATTTCTCTAAAAAGCATTGATAGTTAAAAAAGAAACAGAAAACATCTACACAGAAATGGTGGAAATGAAGAGAAATGATATTAACATATTTTTGTATAAGAAATAATAAAACAAACCATTAATATTGTTGTTCATTCAGAATAAATTTTAAAGTAGTTTTCACTGCCATGAGTCAATTCCAACTTAAAGCAATCCTATAGGACAGAGAAGCACTGCTCCTTTGAATTTCCAAGGCTGTAAATCTGTCTGTTTGTTTGCTTTCCTCAGAGAGTGCTAAGGTAATTTAATGTGATAATGTGTTACATTTTAACCTAACTACATCATCCATAATTGGCTTTACAATGCTCTCTGTCCTATAGCAAGGCTGTTCACATCCTTGGACTCTGACCAGAAGGGATTTACTGGAGGCTCACTAGGTGTGGGGACCCTGCAAATAAAATTTGGGTTTCCACTGCAAACCGGGTACTTAAAAATTAAGTTCTGTTACTGTTCCCTCTGTTAGATTTGGATTTTGTTATTTACAATTCTTGGATCACACAGGCTGGCATGCTTCTTCCATGTGGACTTCATTGACACCCCACTTAGATGGCTGCTTGTTTCAAGACAAGCCTTTAAGAACCCAGGTTCTGTTCTTACCAGTGGAGGCTGTAGATCTTTACAGGAACAGCCAGCCTTATCTGTAGCCCACAGAGCAGCTGGTGGGTTTGAACTACTGATCTTGCAGTCAGCAGCCCAGGGCTCCTTTATTTATATTTAGGAAAATTTTAAAAACCTTTTACATTGGCTGTTCTCTTCATTTTCAAGCCAAAAGCATATTGTTAAATTCTCTGTAATCTTTAGTTAACATATAGATCTGAAGATATTGTCACAGATAGGCTTCATCAGCATGTGTTGGGGTACGTATTCATAGCTTGATATTCATAGAAATACTTTCCATTTCCAGAGTATTGTAGGATTTACTTGATTGCGAATGCTGGATTGGTGATGTTGGATTTTGTTTGTATCAACAAGCATGTTTTCATCAGTTTCTTATTATCTGTAAAAAGGTGAGACATATGCACTCTAGAGAATTAATCCATTGTATTTACATTAAATTATGTAATTATTCTCAAGCTTGGCAATTGAACAGTTTGATCCTAGATTCTGCTTTGTGCTAGGGAATTTATAAGGAGTGCATAAATAGCTATAGTTGTAATAAATTACCCTAATTTATTTATGTATGCTCATCCAAAATAT